CCACGCCCAGTCTCATTCGCTATCTCCGCACACCATGGCAGAGCTGGCATGGTACACCTGGGAATTGAACTCCAGTCACTGTCTGCCTAAGCAGGTGCTTTAATCTACTGAGCTATCTGGCCAGCTCTTTATTTTTCAGTGTACTTCGCAAACTATAGTGCAGAAGCATAGGAATGTTTCTAAAGGTTGTTAGTAATCAAGATATATCATGTATAGGTATAGATTCCCTATGATGAATGTGATCATTATACCTAAAATGTACTCATAAACTTAATTTTATGTATTTATTTTTTGGCAGAACCAGGGATTGAACTTAGGCCCTTGCGCTTGCCAGGGAAGCACTTATTCCATTGAGCCATCTCCCCGGCCCTAATTTTTTTTTAAATGTTATTAATAACTCATAAAGTCCTGAGCTTGGAAGCTGTGTGGGTAATACTGTACAAACATGGACCAGTACTGCTATAGTAAAACTTCCACTGGTACTGTGAGTCACAACTGCAGGTTGGACTGACAGTGTTTGGGTCTGGGAAGCAAACACTTCACACTACGATGCCAAAGAGTGGTACATCTACTTCATCATGCTTGCTGAAGGGTAGATTTTATATAACCTATATTATCATACTGTTTCTTTGCTGGTTTGATGAATTAAAGCCATTAGAACCAGACATGGTGGTGCCTCAGGAGGCTGAAGCAAGATTGCTTTGGAGACCAGCCTAGACTACATAGCGAGTTCAAGGCAGCTTGCACTACATAGTTAGAACCTGTCTCAAAAACACAGAAAACAAAAACAGTGCTTCCTCATTTGCCCAGCAAGTAGGCAAGTTGGCAAGTTGGGGTGTTTTGTCTGTCCCAACACTGTCCATCCTGTTGAAGGTTTCGTTTAAGATCACATTGATGGGGGCCAGGGAGATGGCTCAGTGGAATACGCGCTTCCCTGGCAAGCGCAAGGGTCTGAGTTCAATCCCTGGTTCCGCAAAAAAAAAAAAAAAAAAAAAGATCACATTGATATGGGACCTGTGACTACTTTGCAAAGTACTCAGTGTTCCTGAAATTACACCTTTCACAGCAGTCTTAACATTTGCAGGAGAAAAAATATGATAGGAATAAATCATGCACAGACTGCTGGAAATTTTTTCTAAAGCATGATTGAGAATTGAAAATTATTCCTAGAGATTATAAAGTTGCTGATATTTGTTATCGGAATGTACAATTACCTTTTAGAATAAAAATTATGATTTTATTTTGGTTGTAAAAATGAAATCAGGCATTAAAATATAATAAAAATACCAAGTCAGTGAGACAGTGAAAGATGACTTTCTGTCCTTGTTTGTACTTTTCATACAAAGAGGAAGTGATTATGAATGAACAGAACCACTACCACAGAACATCCATACACTGGTTGACTGCTGCCTCACGACACAAGTAGGGAGTTCATTTGTGACAGGGGGATTATGCAAATATTTTATACCTAGAAGATAATTCTGATAAGTTTTTCTGAGTACATTTAGAAAATTAAAACTTCTTAAATATAACATAACTGTCTTTGACTTAAAAAATGAAGGATTGCCAGGCATAGTGATACATGTCTGTAATCCCAGCACATGGGAGGCTGAAGCAGCGGGATTGCTTCAGTTTGAGGCTAGCCTGGGCTACAGAAGGAGTTCAAGGCCAGCCTGAATTGCATAGTGAAATGCTGTCTCTAAAAGACAAAGAACAAACAAAAGGAGAACTGATTTCAGTTCATAGATGGCAATTTGCTTAGTGGCAGCTTAGAGGCTCATATGTAGTTTGATTCTTAAATGTATATTTTATGAAAATTGTAATAGACATACCAATGAATGCCTATCTTTATGATGAATAATTTAAGTTTTCACCAGGGTTTGATCCCCAGCGCCACATGCTGCACCTGCCCTGACCCCATGTGTGCTGAATCAGCCACAGACCAAGACCAAAAGTGGTGGCACAGGGCGTGGTGGCACTTGTCTGTAATCCCAGTGCTGGGGAGGCTGAAAACAGGAGGATCACTACAAATCCAATCTGAGCTGTGAGCTGCGTAGTGAGACCCTGTACCAAATAAATAATAATTATTAGGTTTTAAAACTGTGTGTCATAAATTTTAATTCAATATCAAAGAACCAAAAATTTGGGGGCCTGCCCCTTAGCTCAGTTCTTTAAGTGACTGCTTCAACAAAGCAGTCAGGCTCAGGTTGCTGTGGTTCGATCCCCACAACTCAAGCCAGCCAAACCTGCCCTGAAGGCATTCAGAGGAAAAAAAAAAAAAAAAATCCTTCTAGGGCCAGGGAGCTGGCTCAGTAAGCACTTGCGTGGCAAGTGCAGTGGCCTGAGTTCGATCCCTGGTTCCGCCAAAAAAAAAAAAAAGAACCAAAAATTTAATTATTCTTATTATTACATTTTTTTGATACAGGGTCTCAGTACGTGGTTCAGACTCATAGTAATCCTCCTATCTCAGCCTCCCTAGTGCTAGGATTACAGGCATGCACCACCACGCCAAGTTCCAGAGCTGTATGAACGTCTCAGGTTCGGGGGCTGGCACACATGAGGTATAAGGATCAAACTCCAGATCTTGTGTTTGCCAGGCAGGCACTTATGCTGCCAAGCTATCTCCCCTGCCCCCCAAATTTAATGTCTTGATTTAACCATTGTGTACATAAACTAATGTCACATGCCAAGTAGTTTTAACAGTGTTCTTACAGTCCTAATATTTGTCACAGTGGGAATTGACAGTACAGTAGAAGATTCCTTTGCGAGCTGTGCATTTCTTTAGAGTCATCTGCCTCTTTATCAGTTCCTTAAATCATGAAAAACAAGCAAATAAACACAAAAACACTGGCATGGTGGCCCATGCCTGCAGTCCTGGCACTGGGCTGAGGCAGGAGGATTGCTATGAGTTCAATGCCAGCCCAGCTACATAGTTTGAGGGTAGCCTGAGATCATTGCATAACCCAGTGTCAAAAAACAAGAACAGGGACTGGGGAGATGGCTCAGTGGAATAAGCGCTTCCCTGGCAAGCGCAAGGGTCTGATTTCAATCCCTGGTTTTGCCAAAAAAACAAACAGCTGCGTGTGCTGATGCACACTTATAGATCCAGTGCTTGGGAGGCTGAGGCAGGAGGATCACTGCCAAGTTCAAGGCAAGCCTGGGTTACATAGTTCAGTACCAGACTGAACTATTTAGCAAGACCCTGTCTCAAAAAAGAAAAACAACAGCAGAGTCGTTCTCATTGAGGAATTTGGGACCAAATGTAGGGATGAGGACTGCAGAGAGTGATCTCTCTGAAGCTTGTTAAACACATTCCAAATACAAAGAAATTACCATTCCAAGTAAGAGGAAGCATGATGAGACCCTTCATTTCATACTTTTGCCTTTTGAAAGGTAGAAACAGCCTGAAAACCTCTACTTACCATTTTCAAAAGATAATTGTCAGAAGAGCTGAAGGAAATCTTTTCCATGACACTGTGGAAGACCCAAGATTGGTAACAGTGATGAAAGAGATATCTGAGGCTCAGAAATCAAAAGAACTTATGGAAGAAGAAAGAAAACTTCTAGATCCCAAAACCAAAAGGCCAGGTGGTAGATCAGAGAAAGGCTTTCCAACAATTTTAAGGGTTAAGACTTGGCTGTGAAGCATAGGCAGATCTCTGGAACCTGGCCAACGCTTGCCAAAGATTCCATACCTTGCTGCAAGGAAAGACCTTTGAAACCAATGCAATATTGAATCAGACTGGAGCTTCAGAAAAGTTCTAAGAACTATGGCATGACAAGAGAAATAGCATGTGATTTTTTTTTAACACACACACACACACACACACACACA